TTTAACAACTGCGAGTGATTCACATTTAATTTCTCCTAATTATATTACACATTGAGGCCATGAGAATAACTGAAATTATCACCAACTAAACATTTTCCTTGATTGTTCAAGAAATTCTCCTTTTCAACAACTTTGGAAATGCATAGGGAACAGTGTAGAGAATATATCTATGGTTACATTCCAATGTCAGGGTGTTAAAGGGGTAAATGTCTCTGCGCATTTGTCACATTAAAGGTATAACTTACAATATAACTTACCGCTTTATTAACACTCTGATCTGAAATTAAGGCTGTTATTGTCAGCTACAACATATATGTACTATTATGGAGGAGGAAAAAGTAAAATCTTACAAGTTAGGGTTAAAAGGATGAGCTCTTGGTGCACGTTGAACATCAATGATTTTGGCAGTAACTTTAAGACCAGGAAGAAACACTCCCTTCTTGTCATCTTGAAAAATAGAAGTCATGCTACCGTCAAAGACATCATCCTCTTCATTGAGGATACACACTGAGCCAGAGTCTAAGTTACAGTAGATGAGAAAAAAGGAAATAGTTACTCCACAATTTTAATTCTTAAAAATGGAACTCAGATTAATTGTTAGTACTTGTGATATACAGTCCAGCTACTGATTCAGCAGTTATTATACACTAGAGCTAATGATCCATTTAGTTTAAGGGATTGTGTCTCCAATTCAATCCTTTTTGTATTCTTCACAGTCATGTTTCATCATTCCAATAAAGTGGTTTTAGACCAACAGCTGATGTTAGAGTAAATTTATGAGACAGTACTTTGAGTTCAAAAGAAGCTTGAGACTATTTTTTAAAAAAAAATCTTTTCCCAGGTTTGTGAATGACTGTCAGATAAAATGCTGAAGGTTCAGTGACCGTCAGAGAACAAGGAGGAGTAGAAATATCCCTAATCACTTTGTAGTAATGAACACAGTACTGGAGCAGGACAGGCTCTTCTATTTAATCTGTAATTATTGTACCTGCAAAATTATTTTGGTTGGGTACTGCTAAAGTGTCATCATCAGACACCTTAACTAAGATGTCTTCTTCAGCAGCCACATTACTATCTGTATGTGAGAAAGATGTCTTGTTGTTTTGATTTACCATACTGGCCATTCTGGCTAAGAGTGTGTATCATTCAGTACACTATCCAGGATTTTCACAGGGTGGAAGTAAGGGTTCAGTTGGAGTAACATCAATGGAATTCTGACTTCAGGATCTGTAGGTGAGAGATAAAGCAATCGCATTAATAATAATTTTTCAATTAACCCATAATCTAGAGAAATATATCTTAAAAAATATGAACTTTATTTTTCAAGGCAGTTAGTGTTACTCTGGCATAGACCTGCATAGAGGAACATGCCTTCAGGCTCTGGAAAATTGTAACACTTAAAGTATGCCAAGTCTCAAAAAAAATGAAAACAGTGCTGCATAATTAATTATTGTTTATACAAACAGACACCCTCTCAGTTGATGGATCCTGTTATTTAAGGTTGCTGTCTTGAGAATGAAAGATTCTTAGAGTAGTCTGCATGGTCTATTTTTCCTGAATGAATTGGCAACAATAATGTGCACTAATGGTTTGTGCCTGGTCAATCAAAAGGGTCCAGTTACAAGCCTCAGCCAGCCATGGGTGGACACTTTTGTTTACTCACACAACACCTTGCTCTACAATACCTCAAACACTTTGGTTGGCGCAGGTACTGTGAGAGTTACTGGGATGGCCTGAGACAAGAACCCAGCCCGGCAAACACCCATTCTCAAAGTCAAGCACATTTGTGCTAATGTCCAGCATCTCCCTTTCAAATTATATATTAGGATCAAATCATTTAATGTGATGATGATCTTTAATTAAGAATGAAAGAAAAGAAAATCTGCATGTCTATTATTTTAAAATAAAAAAATTTTGTTTACAAGGGAACTGACATGTTAAATATTTCCATGTTACCTCTTCCCAATACAAATTGAACGATATTGGGATTGTACTCAGTAATTCAGTTTAGAAACCTTGTAACGTTATCATCTCAAATAGCAATCATGAGAAATTATGGATCCCCATAATATTCTAAAACCAAGTCTTAGTCCAAAAGGCAATCTATTTCCGCCATGATTTTCCTTATCCAGGAGCTGTATGTAAAATGAAGTATGGGACTGTGCAGAAATCTCGCCCAAATTATGTTTATCTATTGAAAAGCATTTAAAGTCCTTCCAAAGAGAGAGTGAGTACCGATGCAATCTAATTCCGCCTAAATTTCGCAATCGGCTGTGAATAAATTAAATATGTAATTAATTATGCAAAACACCACGTAGCGGGAGAGTTTTATGTTATTAACCGTAGGAGTTAATGCTGGCAATTTATAGATAACGCGAAAACGGAACCTTCGGTCGATTGATTCCAGGGTGACCTTAGCTTCTTTGTCCCTTCTTATTTCCGGAAGAAAAATTTAAATTGTGCGTTCGCTACTTGAACATATCAACTCCTCATTACGCCCCCTCTCAACTGAAGAACTAATAACTTTATGGTTGTGTATAAGGCGAGCTTTTTCTTTTCCTTTACAACTATAATGGTTCGAGTCATACAGACTTCCTGCGACTGCCAAAAGGTCGAGATCTTACGTTTTCTACTTTTGCTTTCCTTAGTTTTACGCTTTTCCTGAGTTTCCCGGCTGTTTATTTTGTCTATATCGATACCTGCAGGATGTAGCGCTAATGATGATTCATTAAGCCAACTCACCTATTTCACTGCATCATCCCCCTTAAAATAACGCACAATCGCGAGAGAAAAATCGGCTGTTTTTAAATCAGGTAGACCTGCGTTGAAACAATTAACACAATAAATATATCCGGCGATGACCAAGAAACATATTGGTATTTATAAATCTGTTCACTGCAGTCTTGTTTGGACAGCGGATAACATCGTGGTGTAAATCACCATCGATTCTATCTCATCCCGGGTCATCCCGGACTGGGAGCACTTCACACCGGGTTGGAAGTCACGCAACGTCCACTCGCCACCAAATAGCTGCCTTTCTTTCCCCTTGTGAGAAACTACCACTGTTTGAAAAGTCACTCTGGTACATGAGGCTGGGAGGCATATAGTTCCAGTAACCTGTGGAGTTGTCAAAACTGCCTCTCTTTGGCGGTCCAGAGAAAAGCACTCGAGTTCCAAACTCGCGTAATCTCCCTGTCACGCAATGCGTTCCCACCGACATGACAACTGCAAGAGACCACAACTAGCGGACTTTCAGGCTGGGCCACAGGGCCACGACATTGTATGATTGAAGTAATACATGGCGATTATGATTGAAACACTGAGCAGTGATTATTTCAACGCATTTTGGCCTTGATATGTCAATAAAGTTAAATGAAATGTCAATAGACTGATGCGTGGTGTTTTTTCACCTGCGCGCTGTTTAAAACTTTCATTCCCTGAGTCATAAAGACATGTTTTGTCAGAGGCTAGGTATGACTCAGTGAAAGGAAACTTAATATAGTGCAGAGAGGTAGAAAATACCTCGCTCCAGTCCATTTACTGTTTACTGAACTTTACTGAGCAATTCGGCCCGAGATGCAGTTATTTAAGGGTGTATTATTTAAATGAATCTTTTTAGCTTTCGGTAGAGATTGAGAGCGTTTCCTACAGACGGCTAACGATGAGTCAAATGAGCTACAGTTGTGGACAGGGGTTTACCAAGAAAATGGTTTAAAAAATTGGTTTTCATATACGGAAACGGTTAATTATCAGAAGGAGTAAACTTCAGGGCTAATGATCGAGCTGACAAAGAAAGAGTGAAAAGACATGACTTTTCCAACGGAAACTAAGGAAAGATAATGGGCATTATAACTTTACTTCTCCCCATCCCCTCCTCCGTTCAGGATGAGGGGGGGGGGGTAGCAGAGCTATAATGCCCCTTTTCTATTTTAATCTATTGAGAGTGACCGTGGGGAAAGGGGTGAGAATGGTTTGCCTTTAAGTTTTCATAATACTTATGTACAGCAGCCTGCTGTACTTACGACGCAGGAGACTTGTTCAGAGGGCAATCAATACGGCCTTCGGAAAATTAATGACTCTGACATTGGAAAGAGATAAAGTTTTCTTATTGTAGTACTGAGGATTATTTGGAAATGGGTCGATAATCGTCTTGCATTTATATTTTTTGACAAATATCAACTCAAGACAGATATACAACATACTCCAATTATCACAAAAGGACTCTGCAGAGTCATTTGACTCAAAGTAGATTCTACGGTTACCGGAGACACGTAAAAGGATTAAATTGAATTTTTCGTGAGCCCATAATTTTATAACAGCAATATCCGTATTCCATCCAGTCTACTGAATATGAATGTTGGAAAAAATAGATGATTTTCATAAATACTTTATAGTACATAACTCACATTTGAACAGATAGCTAACAACAAGTTTATGTGAATGAAACAATAAACGGAATCATGAACAGAACCCTTTTCTCTGTCATCATAGTTTCCACAATTAGTTTATTAAATAGTTACGCTTAAAAATGCTACAAGAAAAAGTCCTTCTCGAACTCTAAGATGAAAGCCATGGAAATAAATAATGATCAGTAAAATATAAATTGTCAGCTTAATATAAATAAGTCGTCAACTCAACGAAAGAAGGTTAATCGGTTCCTCTAGGGAACTGCAACGGTGATGTCTTCGATGTTCACGAGGAAGTCAATTACAGAGCAAAGGGTTTAGTGAGCGATGATCTGCTGCACAGGTGTTCTTGAAAATTCATATGCTTTCTGTGTCTATTAACGAAGATGTAATCACTGACTCAAATCACGAAAAAGTTAATTTCTTTTCTGGGATGTGAATCGTAGACATTATTTTCCTCTAGCCCAGCAGTAGATACAACTAAAGCAAATCTCTATTAGATAACTTCAGAGTTTGTAAAACACACGCAAATATAATTCCTTTTATTCATCAATATCGCCGGCGTAACCTTTAAGACTTCCTGAGGACGGTTCCTTAATAGCGATATCGCCGAGATGTCACCCTCCGGATAATAATGAGGGTTATAACACGACGGAAGACGAAGCGTACAATTCCAATGAGAAGGACTAAGATCCGAGCCAACTGAGAGACAACAGCGAACATACAAAGGAATCCCAACAAAAGGGGCACGATTGCCAACAGGCAGATTTCGACCTGTTGCAACATGATCACGTGCCTTTTCACGGGTCCTTGGGGGGTCACACCAGCCGATAGAAAATGAGCTTGAATTAAATTTATGGTCGCTATGACAACCAAGAAAGCAAGAGAGATGGCCTCTATGACGTTTGCTTTTCTGTCACGAAACGGCTTCACTGTTAGGTGCCAGGCGAAGACGAACAGACACGTGATGTCCATGAAAAACAGACGGATGAGAGGATCGGGGAAGAAGACTTGGTAAGAAAGGAGCAGAAATCTGCGGCCAATTAGAACGCTCTCCCAATGCAAAGAGCCTCCCTTACGGCGACTTGGTGGGCGAAATGAATCGTGGAGGACTTTCAATACCTCAACACGCGTCTCGCTCAAGCTCACTTCCTGGCACTGTCGTTGGTTTCTAGGGTAAAATAGTTTTTGAATGATCCATAAAGAAATGAAGCCAAGCGGGAAAAAACACGCCCCAATGAAGTGTCCCACAGAAATTAAACCTCTTTGTAGCTTCATCGCGCCCCAGTAGATAACTGCAATGAATGGGAGAAGAAATATAACGACGTAGAACAAAAAAAAGCAATGCCACCACTGCCAGCACTTGATGTTACCGTCATAATACAATCTACTCTCACCCAAAACAGGAACACATGTTAGTAGCTTCAAGGCTGTGTTGGCCAATGTTGCACAACCAAGCAATAATGTCTCCAAGGTTGCAGCAACGTAAGGCGCTAAGGGTGGGTCTGGTCGGCCCCGCAATCTGTTCCAAGTAAAATTTAAAATCAGTATTGCCTGTACACTGATTAACGTGGCAAATACGCCTGAGGAGAGAATCAACTCTTTCGTAACTACATTCAGTCCTGGAAAAGGACAGCCAAAGCCTTCACTAGAAACTGTTGGAATAAAATTAAAGATGCCGGAGAAAAAAGTAACAAGAGGAGCAGCCTCTTTGACAACATCTGCAGTGTTTTTGATCGCATCAGAGATTGGTTCAACATTCAGGTAGCTGGAAATCTGATAGAAATGAAATATGACCTTTTTGTAGCCTTTGTTGTAATGATCGGGCTCCTCAAGAGATGTATATTCCGTTCGATTTCTAGACGAGTTCGCAAACCAGAGGATGTTTTTGACGAGAAATCGTATTATAGGTGGTTTGTGAATAAACAGCAATGCCATCACCACACCATAAATTATAGTCAGAGGCCAAATCCAGTGATCTTTACATTTGTCAATCCGCTTGCATTTCTTGGAAAACAAAGTTTCTGTATACCCAATCTTGCATCTTCCACACATCACGCCATCTCGGTTGCCACGGCAACTATTATAAACGGATAAGTCAGTTTTGTCTTCTTTGCCACCTGGTCTGCAATACTGTGCTGGACAATGAACAAACTTCAGCGAGTTCGGGTCATCTAATTCGGGATACCCCCAAAAGTTCGGTTTGGCTTCAATGTTGCGAGAGCAGTTCGCGCCATAAGGACATGGTGAACAAAATAAGTCAGAGCTCGCCAACACTTCTTTCGTAGGAAGGCCCTGTATTTCCCCTCGCTGGAGACTATAAAAACCTGCAAGGCACTGATGGCATGATATCGTCATTACCGTTATTTTTAACCAACACTCTGGGTTCTCAGACGAACTGGGTACGAACATGAAATGCGAAAAGTTGTCCACTCTCAAAACACTTCCTATTGCGCACTGTATTTTGCTGAAATTATCAAACTCTACCAGACCCGCCCTTACAACTGACAATAACCGATAAGAATCTTTGTCCAACTCTGCAACTATCAATGTCTTCCTAAGTTGAAGTGAGCCAAAGCTTTCAGAATACACGGATGCATGGTGTGTAAACGTTTCCCCGTTGAATATTGTTTCAGTTGAAGTCTGCTTCAAAATGGAATTTTCAATTTTGAGCATCGCGTGCTGATCTTCAACGCGAACGTGCCCGCCACTTTTTATCGCGTAGTTATTTTCAAAGTAACAGCCGCGAATGGTCACGTTACCTGAATAAAGAAGGACACCACCCGTTGACCGTCCGATATTATCCTTAAATGTTGTATTTAAAATCGTAATTGTGTTGATGTACGAGAAACGTAGATATGAATTATTACAGTCCTTGCCTTTTATCAGCATATCCTTAGGCATAAATATTGACAATGGACTTGAGAGGTATCCGTCCGTGAAGACACTCCTTATCTTACGAAAAACGCTGTTTACGATCTCTACGTTGTTGGTATTATTTGAGTAAATCCTGAATACGACTGATGTCGAGCCAACAGCATTCGTGACCACGAAATCGTGCAGCCGTATTGACGATCCTAGTGCAGTTTTCTCTATTTGGACGTCTAACACAGAATTTGTGCCGCTTTTTTCCATTTGCTCTCCGTTTATTTTTACATCATTTAAAACAAGATGCAAAAAGGGAAGTTTCGAGACGACTTTTATATGATTTTTCTCGTTTAACCGGAATACACACCGTTCAAGATGTATCTTCATTTCAGTCGAGCCGAAGTCATCGTTCATTGCTTCGTCACCAGACAAAATAATTACTGCATTTTTTGAGGTCGAGCCGGTAGTGTTCACCTTAGTGAAATTAACATTGCAAGTACATTTCAGGTAAAAGCAACTTGAATCATTTTTCCACTCTGTGTCAAACACGTTAACTTGACCTGAGACTGCAATTATGAAAACACTGGCCCAAGGCGAAACGAGACTGTGGCTGTGACCGCGGAGATCTGCATCCTGGTCATCATTGGCGGTGTTACCACTTATATTAGAACGAGAAATTCCCAGCGAAACCTCCTTGGAATTTATATTAATACATTGAGTATCTATGTTGTCGGTGCAGACCAGACCATCAAACAAAGCCTTGTGGAACTTTGCTTTTGAAGTGTACAAACTGTTTGAGGGAGCCGAGTTCTTTACTAGCGTAATTCGGTGATAGAGTTCGTTTGTCTGTGATGAATTGATAGTATTTTCGAATAGAGGACCTGTATTTTTTGAAAATATCGTATCACTGCAAAATATATCTATTCCAACGGGAAGAGGAAATCTCCCTCGGTTATCCATTCGGGGTGGGGAATTTTCGTGGTGTTTGGCAAAGCCTAAGGATTCATACTTAGCAAGTGTATCCAACTGCAGTTGTCGCAAATGAATTCCTCCCAAGTTGTTGAAAAAAGACGAATTTTTGACGACCAGTGTCACATTAGCTCCTGGCGAAAGCCATAAATTTAACGGATGAATGCTTCGAGAAAAGGTGCAATTGTCAAATTCTACAGAGGTGTCGATAAAAGTCATGGAGGTATTGAAGAAGACGATACCGGTGAACTTCACTTTAAACTTCTGTCTGTTCAACGAAATGGCTGCAAACAAAAGAGAATCGCCGCAGTTCACAAGAGCACGAGGACGATAGGCAACAAATTCCCAAATTCCATTAACTGTTCTGTAATCCTTCCCTCTTTTTATATTCTTTTTACGATTGCGTATCCTTCCGCAAGTATGGCTGTTAAATGTTCCGTCCAAGAATATATGAGCATTTCGGTCAGCGCTCTCGATTCCGCGCGCAAGCGTCCTACATGATAAAATTTTCGGACCGCATTTCGCAGAATCAATGCCTTCAGAGCTTGAAACATAAACGTTTTTCCTTCTAACCTTGATCGCCTCTGCTGAAATAAATTTAAAAGGATTCTTTAGTCACTAGCTCGATTCATCACATAAGTATAAGCAGGGCCTAACTATAGGGTTGCTCGGACGAAACACCAAAAATAAACTAATATCGAGATCCTTCGGAAGGCGCTCTAACACTCTGCTACAAATACTTCATCGGATCAGGAAACGTTTGGCTCACGGTAATAAGACTGATTAACAAAGGTAACAAAAGCTACGAAGACGCGAAATCTAAGCTAAGCAAAAAAAAAAAGACAAATACGCAGTAACATGAGGGTCTCAATGGGGTTAACCGTTAGCAGTAAAACGATCAAAAAATTTAGCCGTAAGGCGTAAAAATTGACAAATTTTAAGCATTAGTCGTAAAAAGAGTTAACCGTAAAAAATATGTCTAGCGGAAGCAATGGAAAGGTATTAACCGTTAGCCGTTAATTGGCCAAAATTTTAACTGTTAGCCGTAAAAGTCATTACCCCATTAAGACTCTCCAACATGTACTCCTGGCGTCTACAAAAGTTGTCATTGTTGTTCTCGCGTGACGTATGCCGCTTGGTGTCACTCCTTTTCGATAGCTCCAAACGAAACGAGTAATCTTGTTCGCAATTAAAGATCATTGTGTTCGTTTTTGTAAGGCTACACTTAATTTTTCAACATGGATGTCTTTTTTTGCAACTCTACATGTAGCAACGAACACGAAAAAAAAATTATGCCACAATTCTGTATTAAGCTATGAGAATTCCGTTCTGCTTTCAGTTGTGTCCGATATTAGTTCATAACTGAAAAAAAGCTTTAAATCAGCCAGTCTCTCGTAAAAAAATGTGTTTACTGAGAAAGTCGTTGAATTCACAGCATACAAATACAGATAACTTTCGGTGGGTCGATGAAACACGCCCCTGCAATCCGCGAGGGATAAAAAGTTCTCCTAGTTTCTTTCATAGAGAGAAGCCCCTGTTTCTGTTATGGTTCTCAACATATGACATCGTTCCTCTGGAAAAATTTTTGGTTTTTGATCAGAGATGGTTTCCGAGTTCTGAAGATGTCAAGCTCTTCATAGTATCTCAGTGGCTTTTAAATCATCACATATTTTAGTCTCTTCTCAGAAAGCGAAACAAAAATTTGTGTTTCGATCGATTTTATAGAGCATGTTGGCTTATTTCATTCCGCGGTGTCGAATAACATAAACATAATTCGGTAATATTCTTGGAGAAAGGACGAGCCCTCTTCTCGTTCCTAACGCTTAAGAACAGCATAATTCGATGAGTTTCACATCACTGATTGCTAACTCGACTCAAAAATGTTGACTGATCGTTTAGATAGAAGGAACAAAATGCTTATGAGCACCAGTTTAATGACTTCCGATTTCTAGCGACAACTTGTAACCGACTCAGTATATTATCAATCGCTTTAAACCATTATAGCTCGAAAAATAATCCATTGACTCTTTAACGAATCCCTAAGTCAGTCGATTTTGGAGTCGAACTTTTCTTCCACGTTCAAAAAATAAGAAGTTGAATGTCATAATTATGTCTAAGTTCTTAATTTATGGAAATTGACCAAAATTTCTTCCATGATCCCCGTTTTGACGAGCGCCAATCAGCGTGTGATTAAATGTTTTAGGTGATACGGGAGAGGGACCATAAGTGGCCACTCTGATTTGCTGTTTAGAACGAAAACCTTAATAGACTGATAAAATGTCTCACCATTTTCAGTGAAGAATGACAATGAACACAGTGAAGACCTACCTGTGTTGATGATAAAGACCACAATCAACCATAGTCCAACTAGAATTTCAAAGAACGTCCTCGCACTCATCCTGTAACAAATGGAACAAGTATTCAGAGACGCCTGTACACAACTGTTTCAGCACCAGTCGCATAACAACCGTTAAATGAAGACACGATTGTTAGTGGACATTACATCACTTTTCAGAAGATGAAACCTTCAAGTTGTATTTCATTTTCTAGAGGATATTTCAGCTAAGTTAATTATAGCAGCATATGCAGCCAGACCCAGTCTCTATGTTGTATTATCACTGGTGAAAAAAAGACAAGAATAAAGACCCTTGCGACCGAGGCGCCTATGGTCTCCAAAGCAACAGTTGTGGAATGTCACGCGATGGTTGAGTCATAATCCTCCCAAAATAAGCTAATTTTGTGGGAGAGTATGGCGTCACAACCCAAAAACGGCTGCGTAGGAGCGTGTGCTCGAGCATTTCCGCCCCTTAATAACAGTGAATATTGTAACTTCCATGGGGTTACAGTTTAACCACCTTACATTCGATACCAGACTCAGTTAACACTTCTTTGCACAGAAGCGAGTCAAGAATTTACTCGATCGGGTCAGGATCTCGATCAAAGTGAATATCGTCTCCGGAGGCTGGAAAATGAGTACAACTTTAAAATTCATCCTAATGAATGAGTGAAAATTTTCTCAAGTTTTTTTTTATGAGTTCCCATATTTTCCTAATCTCTGATGGGCCACTGTGATTATCGTACGTGGTTTTGGTTTGACGTCACTCGTTAGAAATGCGCTCTAACTAATGGTTCCGTACAAAAGATCTATTAACGACATTAGCATATTTAATTATGAAAGCGATCTTCGCAATAATGAACACTACTTAAGCAGTAGTGAAAATAAGGTCTGAAAAAAATTCAGGCCTGTGCGGAATTTGAACCCATGACCTCTGATTAGCATATTTATTAGCCCAAGAGTAGCGCCTCGACAAAATTGAATGGCCTGTAAATTACAATTCGTCGTCCACGAAAAACATCACATTGTATTTCTGAGAATATGTTTGAAGTTTTTTTAACCGTGCTCAAGGGGCCTGGTTAACTGGGGTGGAAGATCGACATCTCAACATTGGCTCCCTAACATTGTAAAGGGATGTAGTTTTTCTTACTGTAGCACTGAGGACTGTTTGGAAATAGGTCTACAATCCCCTTAATATTTTCGGACAAATATTGACTCAGTACAGATATATTCCTCTTTTCACATGGAGAATCTCCAGGGTCATTTATTCTACCGAAGGCCGTGTTTATTATCTCATGCAACAAGTTCCCTCGGTCATCCTTGTGCTCATAAGTACAGCAGGCTGCGGTCCATAGGTATTTTGGAAAGTTCACAGGGAAACCATTCTCATCCTTATAATCACTGAAACCTTCTTCGCCGAACCATCGTGCCTCGGAGTCTCCACCTACTGTAGAGGGAACTGCACCAACCACGTTGTACATTTTCACATTCTGGGCACCGTTAAAGGCACAATTGTTTTTCCCCACTCTACAAGTTTGGTTTCACACTCTTGCCATGGACCAGAATTGAAACGTCCAAACTGAGGAACAACGTTTGTGTAGGTAAATGTTGCTAGCATCCCCTCCTTGTTACCTCTGCCGTAGTTTGATGCAACCAAGTGCCCTTTGTGAATTTCTGATTCTAACAGTGCGGGGTTGCAAACCTTGATATCGATGGCCTTCTTTGCCACAGACTTGCGAACCTTAGCCCATTTCTTATCAACAAGCTTTCTTGCCATTCGTTTTAACACAAAGTTTTCAATGAAGCGATAACTTGTAGTCCTTTTTTCTCTGTTGATCTTTTCTCAGTATTGCCTTGCTCTCTCGGAAATACTGAGTAGGCCGGCTGCCGGAGCTTCCGACCAATAGCTGTTACCCCGTCATGCTAGTAGCTGAGTACAGTGGAATTTCGCCGTTATGATCAAACAAGATTGTTACCACACCATCTTCACAAACATGAGCCAGGTTTATCATCGATTGAACTTTATAGCCGAAGTGCTCCACGCCTTTTGGCAGGTACTCTGCTCAGTTATTGTGCGGTTTTCCTTGTGAGTCACAAGCGTGGACAATATTGCACTCACAGCCAATCAATGAGCCGTCAATAGAGCTACATTCTATTATATTGCCAAAGATAATGAGGACGAACATTCCAAAAGAGAGCTTCTTTTCTATCGTCTTCCTGTAAAATTTGTCTCGTGCAAGACCTGATTAAAAAAGAATAATCATAAGTATTCTTGTTTTTACCCAGCGTTTACACAGCTAAAACATGGCAGCACGGCAAACTATCGTGAGTATGTGACGATGTCTTGCACACCCTAACTAGTCGCCTGCAGTGCATACAGAAGACGAATTTCACTATACACCCCACAAAGTTTCGAGCGTTAGCCCTCCGGTCTGACGAGGGGCCAATGCTCTCAACGTCAGCTTTGAAACTCGCGCGAAACCTATATACAGCGCAGATCTACTTGCTTCGTCTATGGATATAGGCAACTCTAGTTCATAATAATAATTGCACTGAGTGGATTGAAATTTGGTCTGGAATCATACGCGTGATTTCAAAATCATAAATATTATTTCAAATTAAAATCGCACGACGCGAAGTTCATTTCGCTCAATACAAGTTTTTTTAGTCTGTACAAATGTTTTATTGATCCAGTATATTGAGCTGGTTTGTAAGAAAATTTTTAATGTTGTTTCTCATTTTCATGCAATTTGATTGATTTCTTTATACAAGCCTTCAAATTTGATCGGTTGTTCTGTTTTGGTAAAGCTGTCTTATTGGCTAGGGAAAAGATGCGATTTAGAACATGGTGCGATTTGTGAATAAGAAAGATGAAACTCTTGAGCTGCCTTTTTTTCACTAGATATTTTCTCTTCCACGGAAATGATCGGAGGACAAATATCCACGTTAACGGGGGTTATTGCGTGATAACTGTCCGGTGATTTTGTACCACGTGATGTAATGTAAGTTCGCGCGAAAATTAATTGGTGGTATAAACAGATGATGGCTGTTGTGCCATAAGAAAGCGTAGAATGAATAAAAAGACAATAGTAACGCAAAATGCAATATCTTTTTACTCAAAATCAAACAATATTACAAAAAAATAAAGGAAAAAGTTCTTTTCACAGAAAACATAAACAGAACATATGTGTTTCGTTTGCTTGAAATGGCACCTCGTCTTAAATGTTGTCCTTAGATTTAGGATTACAAACTATTTGTCTTTACCACCAAACTAGCCTCTTTTACACTAATGAAATCAATTATTGAAAACGCTGTTTGGCGTAAACTCGCCAAACAGAGCAAAATGATTAAAAACGAAACCTTTTATCCATTATTTTGACATAATTCATGATAGTGTCGCGTGGATTACGCACAAAAACCACTTCAACAGATAGTATTTCAATAATATTGCTCATTTTTTCACCTTAATAAAAAGGATACTTAAACCTGCAATGCTTATGCATACAATGTGCTGACGTAACATTTTTCAAATATTGTTTTGTGTCAAACATAACCTGCTAAAAGAAGAGTAACTTCATTCTTTTTACTTTCCAAGTTTCGAAAGCAAACGTCCTGAAAAACAAACGAGGAACATCTGCTTTTCCAAGTTCCCAGAAAGTGGCCTCATCCTACACGATGTTGGGTATATAAGAAAAAAAACCGTAAAAGAATAAATAAGATAAAAATAGAACGGAAATTATTTAGACTTTCTCGCGAACAAATTTTATGTCACCAAAAGTAAATACTGCAAGTTTGCTACAAGAGACATGAAAACTTTAATTAAACTTTGAAATGAAATAATGAAAAAGTGCAGTTGAACCTGACGAAAATCATCAGTCAGATTCAAAACGAACTCGAGTATTTGTCCAAAGTAGAAACTTTTTTAAAATGGCACGTGTTTGTAGTTCTCCAAAGGTGAAATATTCTACCATAAGGAACAACGGAAGTCCAACATTTTGCAACTTGCATCGGCAAGACATTCGCGATATTGGTAAGGAAACAATATATCCTCGATGGAAAAGCAGCATTCCGAAACCGAAGTTAGTTCCTTTCGAGAAAACAGCAACACAACGAGAACTTCTGTCCGATCCATCGTTTGACGCTGAACAAATATTGCATCGAACACCAAGGCTTGTTCGAGGTTGGTATCTCGGAAAAGAGCCGCTCGAGTATCGCCGAAAAACAACACCTTTCCGATTTAGTTTTAACACAAGGAACAGCAACGAGGCGACTAAGGAGGAAGACAATGAAATAAAACCTATTACTAAGAGGGCAACCCTCATATATCCTGAATGCATGACTGTGGCAATCTGCACTTTACAAACAAGACCAGTTAAACAAAAAAAAAAATTCCCTACGGGAACAGTTAGCATGCCATCTGCTGCATCGAAAGGAAAGAGCACAAAAGCCCCTACTATCCATGGATTAAACAAAAGTAAAACCCCTGCGAGTAGCAGATTAACCTCTAAGAAAGAAACGTTTGTACAGCTTGATGAAGATTGGAAATATTCTGGTCGGATCAGTAAACTGACAAGGAAAGTCTATCGACAAAATGAAAGACCACGCACCGCCGAATTCCAAGAAAAAAAGCAAATTAAGCGTAAAAATCTTCAAAAGTTAGTCACTGGGTTCCTGAGCGAAGGACATGAAAGTATTTTGGGGTGTGGCAGTGAAATTGAAGAAGAAAAAATATTCAATGATTACCTGAAGAAGATTCCAGATTGCTGCGTGGAGTGCTTCACATTTAAAGAAAGTGATTATGACATATGGTCACGCACGAGCTACGACTGAAGTCTTTTCAAGACAAACGGACTACGTATTTGTGGTTTAGTAAGTTTCATTGATCCACGATTATGTAAGAGCATTGAAATTGATGCTGTAGCTGTTCCAAATTTTGCTCGGAGGGCTTTTTCATAATCATTTCACTAATTTGGCCGTGTTTACAAGGATGATAAAGTGCATGATTGTGTAGACATCGAAAGCTGCCTCATTAACTCTTCCACTCTTGAGTGTGCTTTTGAAATGAGTAATTCCTCTGTAAAATATCAATACATCACCGCAAAGATAGGTGATAAAATAAAAGAAGAGAAAAGTATCAGCCAATAGATATCGTTTGATTTGCATGGGTGATCAGATCATTTCGTCGATACATGAATAAAGGGGGTAAGTATCGAAAGAAACTGTGGCGCTGTGTAGATGGGAGAGTTGACCACCGTAAAGAGTTTAAAAGCTGACGTTTGAGCGTTAGCCCTTCGTCGATCGCTCTGACGAAGGGCTAACATTTGAAACGTCACGAAACGTAATTTAGTATTATCAACTCAATTGATGTTACTAAATAACATTTCGATTACAGTCTGGAATAAAATGGGACGAGTAAAGTTTTTAACGAAGAGTTTTCTGGTTTGGAGGACATCTCAGATGGAAAAAAATAAACCAGAACAAAGTGAAGGTGACGGATTGAGAGGGTAGCGAATAAAGGAAAAAATCAGCTTCATGTTGTAGGTTCAACAAGAGTAATAATCATCTTGATCCAAATGATTTCGTACATGGAAATGTTAAAACTGTGCGACTATTTGATTTGCTTCCTTGCATGTTTATCGAGCGAAATGTATCCATCATTCTCCCTTATTTATAACAGTAATGGTGATCAGAATCGGCTTTCTCACTACATTGCAAACAAATACCGTTGGCGAGAAAGGCAAATTAAAGGAATTTAAGAAATTATCGACTGGTTACCATCCTTTAAGGCTAGTTTCTTCGCGTCGTACACCAAATTTTCATTTTTCCAGGATAACCGGCGCTTTTTTGAGTAAGAGAATGCCAAACTGTAGGGTAGAATTGCATAACGGCCATAGCAGGCTGACCTGAATGCAACTAAGTTCAATGTTTTAATTATGTTTATCAAGATGTAACCGTTATGTTGTCATAGCAATATTAAAGCTTTTGATGTAAAAGACTGATCGCAGGATACGAATTTTCAAAGTAGCGAATGGAGGAGGAACAGGGGGGGAAGGGCATTCTAGAAAGTAAATAAAGGGGCATTCCTCTTAAATATAGGGCATCTCTGGGGCCCAATCCTTGCCATATTGAACCGGCATTTTTTAAAGAAGTGCTTGATTTGTTTAAGAACCCTGCGCCAATTAGACTAAAGTTTTAAACCAGCCGCGAATCGGTTATCCGCGGTGGGCTTTAGTTGAATACAAAGTGTTAACATCTAACTCTAGTTGGTTCCATGAGAGTCTTATGATGTTGGTGTTTTTCTCACTGGTTGAGGTGATTTGTTTGGTTCTGGTTTTCTCTCAACGTCTCCTCAATCGAACAGTGTTCTAATTTGAATTTGAAAATTACAATACCCTCATCGAAATCGTGCTTGTGGATTTCCCCGCAATTTATAGCTAATGATCCATAATTAGACGGAGACCAGGCGAGTTTCCAATGAAGTCATCGTAATTTATGTCTAAACTTCAAACTGATTATTCGAGACCAGTCAAATCTAGCTACGAATTTTCTAAAATAGTTACCCGGCGTGTAAAACTCTTCAAATTAAAGGTGATTTTCACTGATATAACTTACTCGTATAGTTGCTAAAACAAAGTACTCTAAAATGAAACTCCTTTCAGCAGTGCCAAGCCGTTTAAAGGAATCGAGAAGCCTTAATCACAGAGAATCGTAAAAAGAGCAAAAATAAAACACATACACAACACATTTGAATTATTAGTGTATTTTTCTGACCTACGCAGTGTTAACAATTGATATTATTCCTCTGAAGAAAACATTTATCGACCTTTTATGCAAATTCATCTTTAACTTCTATTAACACCTGTTTTGGCCATAATTAGATCTTTGAGCCATGCAAATTAGAAACAAAGTTGTTCTTTATATTTTCCTATAGATTGTTTAGCTATCTTAAAGAAAGTATATTAACTGTCAATTTACCTCGCTTGGGACTGACAAAGTGTTCACTTTAACGACTACTTTTTGCAATCAAAGGGAAAGAAAAAGATGTCGCTTTCGCGTTTTCAAGTTTTGTTTGCTGTCGTCTCCGCGACCATTTATTATAGTCGCTCTGCTCGAAAGCAATTGCTTGTAAAGACAGGTGAACCTGTCCAGTTCTGTTGTCTACAACTGTCGGAAGCTTAACAATGGACTTTAAATTATGCTTTTGTGTCTCGCTGGTTTTGAGAACGTTGATATTCAAAGGAAGGAGTTTATCATTTCTAGGCCTGTGAATGTTATTTTCCTCAATCGTTTCTCTGCTCGAGCTGCTATTCCTGCCAACTTTATGTGAATGTTTCGCAGGTTCACATTTTTCCAACTTCCGCTCTATTTGTGGTAAACAGCTGATATTGCTCGGTTTGGAATAATGAGGGTGTCCCTTGGAATAAAATATTCTTTTTAAATAGCATTTGCCACGTTTTTCGAGCTTTTCAACTTGGAAAGTGCAATCTTTGTAAAATGTGCTAGCGCTTTCAGAATCATTTTCCTGTTCAGAGGTACCTGTAGTCTTAATATCCTCAAAGGTTTCAAATGTCTGTTCGCTTTTCAGTGAATCCACATCATGGCTACGTAGAAGGCAACTTTTCTCAAAAATTTCATTATCTTTCCTGTTCTGGGCTTTGCTTCTTTTCTGACGCTCAGGTTTTTCTTCCGCAGTGCTTTTCTCAAAATTATCCATAGAATCGTCACATATTTTGCTCAGGCGAGTGATGAATATATTTTCAGCTCCGTGTTTGTACTGTTTTGCCATATTAACTTCTGACGCATAACAACACAAGTTCGGTCGATTTAGATTCTTCCCAAAGCTTTTAGCACCTGCGGAATATCGAGTTTTCTCAGGACTAACAAGCGTTTTCATCTTATCGTTGACGACAAGTTCATTCAAATCCAAAATTCGTAGCTTTTTGTCTTGCTTGGAAGACTTAGTAACTTCTTTCCAATTAAAATCGACTGATCTGGTGTGCGAAAAGTTCACCTTCTTCCCAGAGAAAACAGCCTTGTCCAAAAATATTCGGTTCTCGGCGGCTTTATTGTGCATAGAAGATTCTGTTTGTAGACCACGCTCAGAAATAACGTACATAGTGGCTTTCCCAAACTCCAATGCATTTTTACCCCGTGTGTTTCGATCGGTGGCCATGTCGCTACGTCAGTGTCTCGCAGGGTTTATCGACTGCGGCCTCTTCGCCGTCCTCTAGAGAACTAAGCTTGTAAATTGTGTTTTTGATTTTCGATCCACGCTTTTCCCTTGTTTGGTTTTTAAAAGATCTGTGTTTGAGGAAAGCTGAAATGCATCTGTGATATCAAGCCGCTCTTTCCTGAAGTCTTTGTTAAGGAAATGAAGACGATTAAAGCTTGTACGTCAATCTGGTAGGAAATGAAGCTTTTCACAGAGAAGTAATGCGCGGTCTTGCATTAATGAGAGGGATAGCCATCATAAAGACTCTCTTTCACGTGTCAAATAAGCCACATTCCCTTTCTTAAATATTTGATTTAAACTACACCTACTCAAATATTCATCACGACGTGAATGTACACAAACAGCCTTGAAATCAGTCGAGCGGGAGCAAATTGACCTCTATCGCCTCCTTTTACAGTATCTTTTCTTTCCCACTCATGCAGTGATACAATCGGTGATTAACAGCTTTGTTTTACACTGATCCGAAACAAAAGAAAAGCTGAATTGATTCAGACTGTCAATTAAGTATGAAATATTTGCAATTACTAAGCCAATGAGTGAAAGAATACAACTAGTTTCGTACGTACTTAAACAGCTCTATATTGTTAATGAGGTATTAAGAACACTGTTTTTAAAGGCGGTTCTTACATACTTGAACAAAACCAAAATTATTAACTGGTGCTCACACCACTTCAAGACGTCATTGCCCGTAGACTTCGTCATTGCACTATACTATAGTGAGAATACTAATGTTTTCAGCCTGTGCGCCAAATCATAGCTGTTGTAATTTTTTAATCGGGTAATTATGAGATTGAGCGAAACGAAAACCAGTAATGAGAAATCCATCATACAGTTAAAAGGATTCCACTGGGAGCCTTTTGGCAAAATTAAGGGACGGAGCGGTTGATTGGAAAGCGTCACTTGAGCCCAGTTGTTAAAAGGGTGGATAACTCTATCCAACTGATAAATAGCCCTCCAGCGGATAAGTGTTTACAAACCGTACTGCGCTATTCATCGAATAGAGGTTTATCCTGTTGATAGTGTTATTTACCCTTTGAACGACCTGGGTCTCGATGATTTGGTACGAGTATGATTATTTTATTACAGCGCGTGCTGGATATGCCTTTTTATCTGAATTACGTGGTAAAAACCTCCTTCCCAGGATTTCATACGGTGTGCCCCTAACAAACATCTCCAAAAATGATGTTAACGCTATTCTCAAATTATTCTTTTGCTAAATGCGATTAGGTAAACAAAAGAAAAGAACTCCCAGCGCTCATTATATCTAGACACCTCGAAGGACACAGCCTTAAAAAAAGGAAAAAAACTGTTCGAGACTAAAAATTAAAAGTTTAAGAGAGCACGAAAATTGTTTACTCCACCCAACAATGTGCATGCGCTGAAATTCTGACAGTCTGCAGCCTATAATTATTGTTAAACTTCTGCCCAACATTCATCATCCCAAATCAGTTGGGCTTGATATCATAAATAATCCCTGTTATTTTAGTGTTATTTAATGAATGAAGCGTTAGAATTGAAATTTCACAATGAAAGGGAGTGATTCATTTTAAGAGGAAACAATTTCTGCTTTTACCACCTCTTTGCAAAAATCAGTCAAGAACACTGGGTAAAATAACATGAAGAAGAGTATAAATTTGACCAGTTACAAACTATCATGACCATCAGTCATGAGTCGCAGGTGAGAGAGTAGAAAAAAAGTAAAGGATGCTGCATGCGAGTTATCTGATGAACTGTTCTTTAGCAAAGCTAGCCTCCTTTCTTTTCTGTCTACAAACCTCCTCTAAGATTTCTAACACACAGAGGAAGAGGAGGGGCAACATTTTTCAGTCGTAGAGTACTTTTACTTCTTTTATAGATACCATAAATGGCAGAGGTGTTTCCTGCTTCCAAATCCACTGTCTACACCAAAATGCAAAAATAGGATCTTTCTACTTTGGTACCAGGTTGCAGTCATTCACGGATTTAGATCAACGGCCCGGAAAATGAGGAAAATTATAATCAACGGTGATATAAGTAAGAAAACAGCAAACTTTCAACTTTCCCGTTGTCTGTGAACATTTTTAATCTACCTTGTTAGTGCAAAATTCAAGTTACACCCGAGCGTACATTTTATGGTTTAAACTTTTCATTCAATGCGTTACACCTTCTGGTGGGAAGTTATGACAACGATACACGAGGCAGCGGAATAATTCGTTTCCAAGCCCCCGTCATTCACTGCTGACCCGGTATAAAGATAACAGGGATCTGAGTGTGCTTGATGACGTAATCACTGACTCCACCTAATAATGTGCGCCGTAGTGTTGACATCCCGCGGCCTCCCATCACAATACAAGTAACCTTTTGCTGGTCAGCTATTCTGTGAATAGTCTCGCCGGGTTTTCCAGCTTCTACCTTGATTTTTGCCTTTAGCTGGAGCAAAAGAACGGAAAGAAAACAATACTAATGTGCATGTCGTTGCCCTTTTAGAAAAATGTGAAATAAGGTCAAGATACCTTACAATATTTAGTATTATTGTCACGCTTTACCCTTCTCTCCTCGCATTTGTGTTTGTACTTCTCGATTACCCTGTCTTTTTTCTCGTCGTGTTCTTTTAAAGTTTGTTTCCATTCTTCGGAATGTGCTGAATCTGCAAGTAGGCAATTATGTGTGAGATTTTGGAATACTAAAAGACCATTGTCCCAGAAAATTAAAGGAGAAAGTGAAAATTCTCAAGCACCTCATAGCCGTTTCATAAACTAAGAACCAGCTCCCCCGAAGAGAAAAACAAATTTGCGCATTTCATGAAAATGACTAGGTATACAATTCAGGCGATATGCTGCACCCTCGATGTAGAGATAGCCCTACAAGTCTTTCATTAGTCTTGAAAAAGAAAAATTAAGATCTGCATTTTATTTTTGAACAAAATGGCTTGGCTTCAAATTATGAAGATGCGGAAAAGATCAGCAAACGAGAATTAAAGTTAAGTGGAATCAATGTGCACTTCTGGCAAAAACTGAATTTTGCAACTCAAGAACTTAAAATTGATTAAGGAAAGACGTTATTTAATCGTAACGAGCGTGAAGTAAAGGGAAATGTTAGTTTCTCACAAGGAAAAAAACTTCATACTTTTGTTTTCTCAGGGTTCCAAACTTTTCAAAAATTGTCATTTTTCAGCGACTTTATATAAAATTGGAGGGTTGAACGGAATCAGATACCGAGGTAAAAACAGCTAAGACACCTCAACTTACGCAACAATGCTGGAGGATCAAGCTTCTCGTGACAGTACAGCACGATCAGTGAGTTCTCTGCCTGATGAACATGATTCAAATACCCTGCAGACATGAACAAAGAAGTTTTACCTCTGAAACTAAATGTGTCGGTTGGGAGCAAGAAACTTAAAAACTGAACATAGTCGGAGTATAACTTTAAAGGAGAGGAATTAATAGTTAACTGCGCATTTTTATTTCACCGAAAGGTCAGAAGTAATGACCCTGATATAACATATCACGCTCGAACCCAGGCCTCGTGGCCAGCTCTTCTCGTTGAGTTTATTATGAAAGTGGGCAAGAGGTGGACCAAAAAAGCACATGTCTTGAATAAATCTGTCTTCTTCACAACGTACCACAAATTGTCCCCAAAATTGATGTAAAAGGTGACAGTCAAATCCTTCTTCATTTGAAACCCAGATTGCCGACGAGTGATAGGCCTTTTTACATTTTCTACAACCTTCTTTATTAATACGACTTAAAAACTGATTCACGACTTTCATATCGGATATGAAGGTAATAGACGGTAAGCTTTTTGTACATCTCTATATTAGTAGCCAAAGCTAATTGGCATGACATAATCAATAAAGGAAATAAAATAATATAAAGAGAACCAGTGGAAAGACAAACCGCAATTCATTGCCATCTCAGCTGAAATCTGCCCTGTAAATTATTTATCGTGTGCAAAGACTGATTTCGCCTGACCGGTGTCACCTCGAGGGAACCGACATTACCGCTTATTTCATACATAATTTTCACTGATAACGTTGCCAAAATCGTTAATTTGGGCATTTTTCCGGTAAAAATCTTCAAAAACACTCAGATATTTTCGTGTTAAAGCTCCATTTATGAGCAAAGTGAAGAGGGTGTTGACCAAACAACACAGCTAAGTTGCGATAAAACATAATCAGGAGACTCAGGAGACACCATCTGTTATCAAACATTTGATAACAGAGGGTTGGAGAAAATAATGCATAGACCTTCGATTAATTTTTTGTTTTCCTTTTTTTAGTTGAGACAATAGCCTCAGAATTCCAAGAATACTCTCTCTTGTTAGATGCGTATAGTACAAGAACGATTACATAAAGAAACATAACACAATGTAAAACTGTTGATTTCAATTTCCGTTTGAATATAACAATTTTAAGTCTTTTTATGGCAACACTGTTGGCCAGAATTTGTCTTAGTTTCAAGCGATGCTAAAAGCATCCTGTTTTGATTAAATTGGACTGCATCATCAAACTCCATTTCTTCTAAACCGAAAAAACGAAACTGAATTTTGGCCTTTTTCCAAATTAAGTCCGAAATTTGCGATATCATATTACTTATATCAGTGTGTATCTACGACAACCACATCTGCCGGTGAAAACTGCTAAAATTATTCAATTGAGTTTCTTGTTATGCGGTTTTTACATGGGAATCTTTTCTCAACGTTTAAAACGATACTTAAGTTATTCTTGAATCATTTTTGGTTCAATTTGGAATTGAAGGCCATGGTAAGTCATATGAATTTCAGAGAAAGACGCCTTTGTGGTTATTTTTAATACTGCAAAACTGACGCCGTCGTCAAATCTGAAGCAAACGCTTCCGTCATCTTTAACTCGTGTTTCGATAAAATTTCCGATTTTAATTCATTCTCTTTCTTTCATTTTTTCCTTTAGGCTAGCGGGCGCGAACCTATTGACAACCAAAGAAGAAGATTAAATCACTTTGTCTCTACCAGAACAAAACGGAAGAAAACCTCAGTAATATATATATATTTTTTACGTATTTCGTCTCAAAAAAATGGGAAAACATCATTTTTATGTGAAGAAATTAGGACAAGTTTCTCTTACTCACATTCAAAAGCTCTCTCACTGTGTTCGCACTCGTCGACTGCGATTAAGACTGTTCTTGTGCTATCCGCCATTCCACCGCGCTCGCTCAAGCCTTTAGTTCAGCAATTGACCTGCGTTCGTTCCTTGCAAATTAGCAATAATGGAGTGCTAAATATTTATTCGCTCCATAGAAACCTTGACACCGAACGTCCAACTGTCTATGGCGTATGTAACAACTTACTCGCCGGTAGGAGCTCTTAGCGTATTGCCAACAAACAAAGCGACTACTGCAGGTGCGAGATGCAATTATTTTTCTTATCACTTTTTCTAAGTTCGTGAATTATTAGTGGTTTAAGCACTTGCTAGGGGCTTGAGAGCGGCCTTGTAGGCTTTCTATCAGACAAGTAGCATTCATAAAAACACTCACCCTATGGTTTTTGTGATTTGGAACCTAATACCACAGAAGGCTATTGTAAAGGAACCTTTGGTATCTGCACTTAATAATACCAGACTACAAGGAGTTCTATTTGTCTTTCTCTTTCTTGCATAAGTCCACTCAAACGAAGAATTGAGCGTTTAATTTCTTGGTGTGACTTGTTTTAAGAAACGATCATTTTAACGTCGTTCACGGGTTTATAAAACAATCAAAAACAAAAAACAGAACTAAGATAAATCAGTATTAAACTTGCTTTGATTCCAAGAAGCTTTATCAAAGGTTGCGTCGAAACGTTTCATTATGCATTCATTATGGTTTAAGACCAATCATAGCCGGCCAGGCCGTTTTCCAGTGGTTTATGTCGAGAACTGTCACCAATCGATTGCATGTAGACCACATTACCTCACTACTTAGCTGGTTTCTTCAATTTTTTTTGAAAATTTCCTGTTTAATTTGTGATTTTCATTTTAAATACGTTTACTCAGATTAATTTCTCAATTTGAAATATGTATAACCAAAGAACTAAAACCGCATGTTCACCTCTATTACATATGCGTGCCTTGCGCTCATTCTATTTTTCTTTTAGTGCCAGTGGTAATCAATGTCCCCCAATGTAACAGCAAAGCAGGCACACGTCTACCAAACACAGTTACTTCGCCACGGTTTTCTAGAACCAATAATCTTGTAGGCCTTCAATTCTACCAGCTCTTAACAAGTTGTGTTTTGGGGCTGTTTACATTGCCTCAACCGTCGGTAACAAGTTTTGAAAATAAGCAGCGCCAGCGGAAAGTACTGAAATCAAGTTGATATATAACTTAGCTGTGTCAGAGACCTTGTTCGCTGGCCTAGTTCCTTATGACGTCTGTTTGCAGACTGAAGATCAAGTTCACGCTCTCATACTGTACTGTAAAAATTTACTCAAGAGAAAAATGTAAACCAATCGCATAAAAGACGAATAATTTCAAAGATTAAGGCAATAGCAAATGATGTCCACTAGCGATATGCTGAATTTCTTTACAAAATTATATTCGTATATTCGCCAGTTGAATTCACGACAGATGCTAAAAGGGAAGTCTCCTTCAGCAAATTTAATGTTTCTTTTCAATCGAGCTAACTCGTCAATTGTAAAAGTGATGACACTTTCATCCAAAATAGAGGTGAACACCGCAGTAATATTCAGTTTATTTCAAAGTTCATTGTGGCTTGTGATAAGCGATAAAAATACCATTTCCTACCTACTTTAATAATTTAAAGTTCTAAAAATATAGCTGCTGAATTCATTGTATCGATTCCATTTGAAATAATAACTCATAAACGCTACACTGTTTGGAAAGTGTAAAACAAAATTGTAAAGTGCAAACCAAAACTTTCCTAATTAATAAATATCAATAAGAGAGAATAAAGTGATTAATGTCATTAATAGTGAAAAACAAAACCTACTACATTGGGAGTAAAACAATGCTACAAACGCAACATCGTTTGCAAAGTGTGAAACAATATTGTAGGATGCAAACCAAATTTTCATAATTCATAAATATCAATAAGAGAGAATAAAGTGATTAATGTCATTCATGGTGAAGAACAAAACCTACTACATTGGGAGTAAAACTAGTCTATGTATTATCCGACCCATTTTTATAGTAAGAACACATTGAACCCCCTGCAAAATATCCACACCTCATCCTACATTGATATATCTTACAAATATGACACGCAATGAAAAATTTAACGCCACAATCGAAAGCAGATTAAAGGAATGATTCAGATTTGTTCTTTTTCCCCTGTACTTTTCTTTACCTGTCACGTTACTATTTGATACGAAGTTCGTCTTGTTTGTCAAGTTTGTAAAGAATTGGTTGATTTTCCGACAATCTTTACTCGGACTAACTCATAACAGTGGAACCCCGTCAACACTAAAAAGTCTTAATCGTTATCAGCCTACATTTTTTCCTTTCAATATAAGTACATTATCCAGTGGAAAAGTCATTACATTCGACAAATTTATATAATCAGGTGTGTTACTTGGATATAACACGACATTGCCTTTGTTAATTTACAAGGAAATTTGTAGCAACAAGGATGGTTATGCACATGATCCTCGGTTAAGCGCAACTCAGGCGACTCGTGAAGGAAAAACAAATCTATCAAAATAATCATGTAGGTTTTTGAAGAAATTATTACCGTAAATGGTTTAAATCCGGTAGAAACAGCCGCCGGATTGCGTAAGATGATCGTTCTAGCGAGGGTTAGTCCTTAAAAGGACATGTGTCCTTTAAAGAGACTTCTAGATGGCTATGGGCAAAAAAATTTTAAACAATATAAAAGTGACTGGAAATGGAAGACAGCTCAGGTATCTGAATCATAATCTGGTCTGTCCAAAAGCCGAGCGTCTTTAAGCAGATCGGTATTGTACACAGTGATGTTATTTCCTCGGCATCGCTTGCGACAGCACCTGACGCACAAACAGAACACAAGAAGAGCCAACACAACAGTGACTGAAATGAAGGCTGCCAAGAAACCTGCAAGACAAAAAAATTGTTATAAAACCTCCTTACTAAAGTGTATGGTAGCTCAGGGTGATGAATCTCACGTGGTAAAAGGTTTTTCCGAAGAAATATTTCTTACTAATCAAGTTCGAGGTCTATTCTGTAAACTAAATTGATTGATCATGGCATAGCGCACGTACTTACTGAGAGATATAGGAAGATGGGATACATTACTGTGTAGTCCAACATTCGCAGATCGTTATTAACAAGTGCAATAAGATTTTTACGATCGGTCCTTCTATAAAAACATTGGTGATTGCAAGGAGAACTAAGACTGCTTTTAATATTGCGCATAGTCATCGAAGGCGTTGATGGGTGGTTTAACGGGATTCTTAATGACCCACGTGGCTTAATAGAAAGGCTAATGATATGAAAATAATCCACAAAGCATCTCCTTTCTGGTCAGCGACAAGGCTTGACGTCACATTCTATAATTTTGTTGAAAATATAATGGAACATAGCATGAAATACTCGCATACTTCGTCATTCATGGTCAACAGGATGGGTTTTGTACTCACCTACAACTCGTACAGTTTTTAAACCTTTCAAACATCTATCGTGTCCATAAATCATGAAAGACACTCGCGTTCAAGCGGTTTGCTTTACACACACATAACGTAAAAACATTTGTAATCAACTCTATTATGCCTTGTCTGCAACTCTTACTGACGAGAATCGAATTCAAAACAAGAGCGTTTATGAGCTCGACAACGGCAAAAGACAAAGAAACTTACTCTTGTATATAAAGGTCTGGACGCACTTCTCTTCAGCTGGTTTTGTGGCTGTTTTTCCACAAGCCTTGTCGATATCATCAGGAACAACATCCGAAGTCGCTCTGATTAAGAAAATGAAATACACAGTCGACGTTAAAAAGTGATAAATTGAAATATTTCCAAGTACCCTCTATACAAGAGAACAAACGTTATTCCTGAAGTAATTCATACTGTCCAAACACACATGGATTATGAAGCACTTTGTAACCACAAAATAAAGGAATTCTAAGTTACAGCTTCTCTTCAGGCTGACTTGGACGGTGAACCACTGAACCACTTACTTGATGAAGTCATTCATAGGGCAATCTTGTGGACAGTTTGGCAACTTGAGAGCCTTTGGATCTTTGCTTTGGCCAAATCGATACATTATACGAACCGTCGCATTTTTCCTGCGAAAGAAAATACAAGGAAAATTACCACAGCTATCACATATGGTCCTTCTTTATTAGTCGCTTCTGAGAGAGAATAACTAAATGTTCTCTTGTTACAATTGATAGCTAGTATCGATAAGTAAAAGTAATGAATGGATCCTCAAGTTAAGTTTGTCACGGCTATCATCTTGTAGCCAACGGTTTGGCCCTCGTATGAGCGCTGCAGAACGCGCTTTTCTCTGCCCGCGCGAAGATTTGAGACCAATCAGATGAATTACGGTACTTTGCTTTACGAGGTCTGCACGACAATTTCATGTTGAAAAATAGCAGATCGACGAAGAGGCGCAAAGATCAAAACACATATCGCACTAGCACGATTTTAAAGTTATTTCACGGTGAATCTGATGTGTGTTGAAGATGCGAGATCTTTTTCCTTTCGTTAGTTAACACATTTCTAACCTCAGCAATTGAAATTTTCGGAAGAATTTCGTGCCTCACTTACTTAGCATCATTTTCATCTGAGAAGAGTTCGATGATGACTGCACTGGAGTAAGCCGGCTGGATCCCATCATAAATATTCAGGGCACTCAGCAAAGCAGCCACTGTAGTGTCATGCTGTAACGTTCACAGACAAACAACATGGTAAGATCAAGGTGAATTATGTGTACGAGTTAAAACTGCCATGATAGCAAGGCACTATACACCAGATAAACTTGTTGATAAGGGATTGACGCTAATAAAAGTGACATGTGATGGTTTAAAACGCTTTTAGATTGAGTGGTCTGAAGCCAAAGCTAAATTATCAGAATAAAGAAGTACATCTCAGGGATTTGCCTGAAGCGCAATGAACACCGCATTATATTAGCGCTTCGGCACTTTGCTCGCGGGAAAGTTGGAGACCTTGAGCATGCAAGCCAGCGTGAGGTCTGCAAGCGGTTTAACACTGATAACTGTTAGTGCCAGACCCCTGGTAAACCTCTCCCCGACTCGTCTCCGCGGGCGGAGAAACGAGCGTCCAGCGGCGCTGAAAAAATGAGGGCCTGCTCATAGGCTACGTGGTGATTGGCCAAGTCGTGATTGGTTTTAGTTTTGCATGTGATTGGTTGAGACGAGATAGGACGAGATTTCTAGACCAATCACAGAACTCATAA